CATCATCATTTTTTGAAGTGGGTGTGGCAGCTTTAGCCTCTTCCTTCACTTCTCCATTGGTTTTCCTGGTGAGTTGAACACCATCTCCCTCATCTTCTTGTAGCAGATTTGTGCGCGTTTGTGAATGGGTTGTTGTTGAAATTGATTTTCCCTCTAAGTTCAAGTGCATGCTTGAATAGTGGGAGGCAACAATTGTGAGTTTCCTTCCTTGTTCAATTGTTGTGCGTGAATATATAGAGGTGGGGATCCAATCCAGCTGAGATTTATGTTATAGTGCACTTCCTTGGTAGGTAATTTCAATTGATTACTTTAGTTACTGTAAGAGGAAGAAAATTGATATAGGATTGATTTGCTTTGAACTCAAATTGATTTGTGATGGGGAATTTTGTTGAAAAGCATGACTGATTTGGTTTTCTTTAAGTTTATAATTGATTTGGGTTGAAGGAATGGAATTGAATAGGAAGAAGATTGATATTAGTTTAAGAATTAATGCCTCCGAGGTATTCAATAAAATGTTTAAATGTGAGTTTTGACATATGTGGGGAATATTTTTCTGTTAATTAAAAAATTATTAGAAGACAATTATATTCTTTAGTGGATGTTGGGAAGTTTAAATTGTTTAAATTATTGTTACGAGATAACTTTTGGAAAGGGAACTTAAGCAAAGAGGTTTTGTAGTTTGTAATGTTTTGTTAAGCATATTAAAGAAGGCATAAACGAGATGGGATTTCTCTTATTGGGTTATTGTTAAATTAATAATTTGATAAGAAAATTTTTGAATGTGTATGTATAGATGTGATGTTATTTGGAATTAATTTAAATGTCAGTAATTTTTTGAGGAAAGTAATTGACAAGTGAAATTAAAGGAAGCAAAGAATTTATTAGGATAAAAAGGACCTTGTTAATTGTTGATGGTTAGCGTATTAAGCACTTATTTATTTATATCAAGAAAAGAATAAATAAATGATTAATTTTGATTGACTTGTTAGGAAAATTAATGACACCCTTGGAATTAAGTGAGAAGTTAAAGTGAAGCAAGTCTTAGAATTATTGAAAAACTCTCAAGTGAGTGGGTAGTGTCCCAAATAATTTTTTGCAAAATGTTTATAATTTTATTTATTTATTTAAATTTTTATAGTATTCCTTTATAAATTGCATAAACATTCCTGTTAAATCTATTTTTATGATTTATACAATTCTTGTTACTTACCTTACTTTTATATTAATAGGTTCCTTATAGGATTCACTTTATTTTCATTAAGAATTATGTTATTGTTAATGAATATTTGGATCTAATACACTATTTACCAATTATTGATTCTAAGCATTTTAATCATTTAAATTTTATAATTTATATGACAATAGTTAATACGGTGATTCGTGCATGGAGAAAAATTGGAAAGAAAATTTGATAGTTGAATATTATATTTTTGATAGAAATGGTTTTAAATGAATGTTTCAACTCCATGCACGTTTGATTTAATTAGGGGGACTAAGTATAAAATGCTAGATGCTAATAGCAATTCCGCTAGCATTTGGTACATAATGGTATACCTAATTAGTAGGGTGTTGAAGGAAGTGCTAGCTCCATGCATAGGCTAATACACATAGAATGGAGGGATGGATATTCATGAGTATCATACTCACATTTTTTTGTTGACTTTGTGCCTGTGCTTGTTTCGTGGCTTTTAGCCACGCTTAATTATTTTATGGCTTTAAGCTGCACTTGTCGGTGACTTACCCTCATAAATTGTGTGTCCACGCTTGATAGTTATTTACCCTCATGGACTGTATATCCATGTCTGTTCGTTATTTATCCTTATATACTATATGTCCACGCTTATTAATCATTTTGATTAAGTCCTGCAAAAAAAAAAAAAAGGAAATCTAGAATTTTAATAATTTTTATTTGCATTTTTGTATTCATAATTTATCTTAATTTCAATTGATTATTTTAGTAAATTTATAATTGATTCATTGATTTTCTTTCTATTATTTTCTTCAACCGTAAGTTGGGACACTATTCATTGAAATTTTTTTTTTTGGTCTCAGATATTGAAATTGACCCTGCACTTCTTGTTGATCACTGATGGACACAATTATTTTTAGAACCATGGAAGCATGCGTTAGTTACTTGTGATGTAAATATATTTTGTATTATGAAATATTAACTTAGCGCTCCACATATACTGTAGTTAAATCTTAGTTTTATTTTGTTGATATGTAATATGCTGGTGTGAAGATAAGCTCCTTTCTACTTTAGCTGATAAGTTTTATTATTGTAGAAATTTTGGGATGTCTTAATGATAGGAGAGGCTCTGCCAAAATTTTCACATAATGGTTAAACCTTTGTAAATTTTAAAGACATAAATTATATATATCATTATCTTGAATAATTTTTTTTTGATTAATTAAGGCTTGTGAAATGTGAGTTTATCTCATATTCTGTGCTGACCACACCCTCAGTATGAGGTTGTAACATACACCTTTTTGAAAAATTCTTGCATGGACCCAATGCACCACATCATCCATATTCTATCTAATAAAAACATGACATGTTATCAATAATTCAATCAAATAAAATCTTATGTGTGATTGTTTTTAATAACTTTATTTTTGGAATTTCTTTTGTTGTTTTTTTTCTCTCCATCCACTACAAAAAAATTAGTTTTTAGTTATGATCTTTGGTGACGACTAGAAAAGTCGCCGCTAAAAGTATGATATTGGGTTGTGACATTTAAATGTTGCTGTCAAAATATACTTTTTAGCGGCGACATATAATACTCACCACCAAAATATACCTATAGTGGCAACAATTAGTTGCTACCAACAGACAACGATAACTTGTAGGCAAGACATAACTTTTGGTGGCGAAGTTGTCGTGGCCAAAGAAAAGTATGCCTTTGGCGACGACTTTTGTTGCCACCAAAAGTTTTTTCTTATTTTTAAGTTAAATGAATAAATTTTTAAAATAAATTTATGTTTATTAATAAAATATAAATATATATATATTGGCATTTAAGTTAACCATTTATTTGGCATAATAAAACATAAATATATATATATTTAATATTAATAAAATTTTATTTTTTTATCTTCGATCAATACTTCTTTAATTTTTGTAGTTTACTATTATTGCAAGTGAAGAATGGGGATTGTAATTTGGGAGAATTTTAATAAAAATTCCTTGACCATACTTATTTAAATTAAAAGCTCCTAATTTTTTTTAAATTTCACTACAATCTAGGGATATAACTGAGAAAAATGTCAAAATTGCCCTTCATTTAAATTAATTTCAGAGAATCAATAAGTTGTGTTAAGATAATTTAAATACCTGAAATGAAAACAAGTAGGGTAATTAACAACATTCTACAAATAAATTAACAAGTGAGGTAGGATAATGAACAAGGTAGGAAAGTTTTGATATTAATTTAAATGAGGAAAAATGTTGTTACTTTCTATGAAAATTTAATATCAAATCAGTATCCCTGAACTGCAATATAATTTAAGAAATTTAAGGGCTTTAAATTTAAATGAGCATGGTTAAGGGGTCTTATTGAAATTCTCTCTTGTAATTACTTGCATACAAAACTTAAATATCTCTCTCTCTCTCTCTTATAACTTACCTTTTCAGTTGTCACTAGTCTCTCTCACATGTAGGAAATCTTCCTCTGGCAAATCTACCTCAACTAATAGCTTGAGACTTGAGTAGATTAATATGTACACACACTTTTTATTGCTCTCTCCTCCTCTTTATCCATTTGAATGCTTGTAATAGTTGAACATAGTGTCGAGTAAAGCATTATTAGTAGGATATAAGTGAAATCGAACCATGTTAGTTGAAATGAAAAATAAGTTAGGCTGGACTATTCAAAATTAAAATAAAATTAAAACTCCTAATCATGGGTTAGGGTTAGCCCATTTAATACCACTCAGTCAAACAAGTGGAAAAAAGAAATCAATCTAAACTTCTAAATTGCATTTGACCCTCTTTGTGTTGTACTATTCATGTTTTATTTACCTCTGATGTGGTTGTAAATTGATTTTTTACAAAGAAAAGGAAAAGAAGTTAAATGGGTTGGTAGGTAGTTTAATAGTATACTAATATTTTCAAAACGTCAATATATCATATAATAGATAAACACACACACATTGAAATAAAGTATAAATTAGTGTAATTATATGAAATAAAAAATATTCTATTTTTGATGGAATTAAAAATATATATTAAGAAATATATTTGTTGGTATTTTAATTTTTCATCAATTTATTTTTTATCATCTTTTAGGCCCATTTGTTTCTTCTTGTTTTATGAAAAAAAAACTTATTTTTTGATTTTTTATAATATTTGTTTAAATTTTTTTAAAATAATTAGAATAAAGAAAGTACATTTTTAATTATTTCAAGAAATTATTTTGAATAGCTTTTGAAAATAATATAATACAGTAGATTGGGGAGAATGTTTTAAAATGAAGAGATACAAAAAAATATTATAAAATTTTAAATAATTAAAAATTGAATCATTTTTATAAAAGAAATCAAAGAAGATATTATAAAATTTAAAAGTAACTAATTAATAATAACTCTTTTATTATTGTAACCAAACACAAAATAATATCTACTTTTTATAAAATCACTACAAAATAAATATTTTTATAAAATTTTTAAATTATCTAAAAATAATATATTTTTTAATGTTAAACAAATGGGTTCTTAATTTCTGAACAAATAAATATAACAAAAATATAAATAATATAAAAAATAAATAATATTTTAATATAAAAATATTATAATAAAAAATAGGATGTTAAATTTATGTTGGTGTATTGCAAAACTGAAGAACTGATGAATCTAAAATTCAAAATATCACTTTTGCTCCAAAAAAAAAAAATCAAAATATCCCTCCTCATTCTAAATTTCCTAAATTTATCCCCAATTCCCTCTAAACCTCTGGTGCGCACAAGAGAAAATGGCTAGGGCACTTTGAAGCTAGGTTCAACCTCTTTGAATCTCCAACCCCTCGGTGTTCATCGCACATTACAATTCATCGCTGGCCCTCATTGTAGTTCGCTGTTCGCCATCACCGGTGCTGTTCTGCGTCTCTGTCTTTGCTCCGCAAGTGAAGGTGAGTTTCGCTTCCTCTGCTCCCTTGTTTCTGAATCTTTAGAAGAATACTGAACATAAAGTCTTGAGGAAGACTTACCTCAATAGTGGGACCATTTATCCAATTCCCACCACAAATTTAAGAGTCATAAAACAAAAGTACATTCCTTAGGATCATTTGTCTTTTCCCCTGTTAGCACGTGATTTAAGTTTTCAATGTAGTAGATTGTTATTCCACTCTCTTGTGCAAAGGGAAAGCTATGATGTGGAATTTGGGTGTGGTCCATATGCTGTGGCCCACATTATATGCATTTACTTTTAAGTTTTGCACATTAACATACAGCCATAGCAGTCCTCTTCATGCTCCCTCTGTTCGGTTATATCCCTTGTTATTGATGCTGCAGAACATAAAGAATATACCTTTATTAAGGAGTTTGTTAATACCTTAAACCCCTAAATTCTAGAATAATTAAAAAAGATGTGGATTACATTTCCAGCTATGATTTACATTGCAGTTTCCCATATTAATGGACATGTTGGCATGTATATTAATTTCCACAAATCAAAGTGCTAAGGGTCATGGATGTTGACAAGTTTAAGCATCACTTGCATCAATATATCAATTATACATTCTTTTTAACTCGTTTGCCACAATAAAAGAAATGTCCTGTGTGGAAACTCTATAGCAAATCAAAATACTGTCAAGTAATTCAAAAATCCTGTCAACTTTCAGTATTTTAAACATTACATGCTATTCTTGTCCAGGAATTTAAACCTCTTTTTCTTGTGCGTTATAAGTATGACTAACTATATGCATTGCACATGCTGTAATTAGTAAATTGAACCACATAAATAGCTTTAAAAATGATGAATATGTGTACAGCTCATAAACTATTCCTATTAGTTAACAGACTTAGCAAATTTTCTTTATTTTCGATGATAATTTTGGTTTGTCCACTTAGTGTTGATACTTATTTGTATTCATGTTAGGTTTGTTAGAGTGAAGAAGTTGAAAGAGCAATTGTTGGAAAATAAATAACAGACTTATTGGGTTCTAGATTTTGTGAAGGTACATTCTCGCTCACCAAATGATGTTTTTGTGAAGTTTTATGTTGTTACTGGTTTATCATTGAGATGGGCTTTGTCTTTTATTTATTGTTCAGTTATGTCTTTTTCCTGCTTCTCCTCTCAACTGTCTCTTGAATCAGCCCTTCTCCAACTGTACCCTCCCTCCCTATTTCCACGCTGGTCAACATGCAATCCCCTCTCCATCCTCCCCAATTCCCCCCTCCCTTTTCCCTATCATTATATTGGACAGATCATTCTAAAAATTTCACATGCAAGCTCAATTAAATATAGAAAAAGCCTGGTAAAATTATAAAATTATATAGGAATTGGAAAAGGGAAGGAACGAAGTATAAAGATAATCAAACAAGAAATGATTAGTGGATGACATTTCAATCCTTTTCCTCTTTGACATTATTCGTCCCAGCCCCTTCCTTTTTTCTTAATAAATATTATATATTCCCACTTGCTTAGCTACCAACCTACTTCTTGCTTGCTTTTCTGCCAACCTATTCTCAAAATATGTACTCTTGCTCCTGTCAAATTTATAAAACCGTCCGCTGAGATTTTGTACTGAATGGAATTTGAAACAAATATAAAAAACATTAAAATTTTCAAGTTAGGAAATAATATTAAATTGAGTTATATGAGATAGAATATAAAGACACATTAATTAAATTCATTTATATGATAAAAAAACAAAGATCCTAGTCAATTTGAAATTTCTGTTGGTTGGAAGAGACAAAGACCGGAGCTTATTTTTTGCTTTTCTTGTTCTGCTTAGTTTAAAAATTGAAACGTGAAAGAAAGCAAGGTCTTGACGCTGCTCTCACTCTTTTTTGCATGATTTTTTTAAATTCAGGTATAATCTTTGAGATCATTTTCTTAAAAAACTCACCAAGTTAGTGTTTCACAGCCTTGTCTTGTCTTTGAGTTAGTGAACATTTATTTATTTATCTTGATTTTTATTTCTCCTCCTTGCCATCTTAAATGGTTAATGCATAGTGGTTATATGAAATTCAATGTGAAATTCCTATCATTTTAGCTTACCAATATGTTCTTGTATTTGGTTTATCCATTTTATCTTATATACATGCAGGGAATAAAATGGATAAAAGTTGGATGGATGTTAAGGATAGAGGAAATATCAAGTATATAACAGGAATGGATAGTTTCTTGCAATGGGTATTTAGCCAAAGTGGAGTAAAAGACTTAATACGTTGCCCTTGCAAGAGGTGTCGGAACTCTCTATTTAAAGCACGAAATGACATAAGATTTGATCTTTTAAAGACAAGGTTTTTAGATAGTTATAAGGTGAGGGATATGCATGGGGAAAGAAGAGTTTAGAGGGAATGTGGGACTTCTAACATTGTGGTGGAAGATGACACTAGCGAGGAGGAAAACCTTGTAGAGATGATATGTGATGCATATGGAGTTTCTAGCATGAGTGATATGGGCATAAGAACAAATGAGAGTGAAGAGCCTAATGATCATGCTAGAAGATTTTATAACTTATTGAAAGATGCATAGACTGAACTTTATCCAAATTGTGACAAGATCTCAAAATTATATTTCATAGCGAAGTTGCTTCAGTTGAAGTGCCTTAATCATTGGAGCAACCTATGGATACTTTGTTGGATTTATTGAGATATGCTCTTCTAAAAAGGGCTTTAATACCTAACTCTTTTTATGAAGCTAAGAAGGTTATTCGCCATTTACGGTTGGATTATGAAAAAATTGATGCATGTGGTAATGATTGCATATTGTATTGGCGTGAACATGAAAATGAAGAATTATGCCCCAAGTGCAATATGCCTAGATGGAAGTTGGACAAACATGGGAGAAAGAAAGTTCCACAAAAAGTATTGCATTATTTTCCAATAACGCCTAAGTTGCAAAGATTTTACATGGCAAAAGACACAGCTTTTGAAATGAGATGGCACAAAGAAAAATGCATAGAGGATGATGTGTTAAGACATCCTGCAGACTCTCTTGCTTGGAAGTCCTTAGACCAATAATATCCTAGCTTCTCTACTAATCCAAGGAATGTTTGACTAGGTTTGGCAAGTGATGGGTTTCAACCCTTTAGAAATATGAGGTCCAATCATAGTATATGGCCTATTGTTCTTGTACCTTATAATTTACTGCCATGGCTTTACATGAAAAGTCCATATTTTATGATGACACTCCTCATTCCTAGTCCAAAGTGCCCTAGTGATGAAATAGATGTTTACATGCAACCAATGATTGAAGAGTTGAAACATTTGAGGGAAGTTGGTGCACAAACATATGATGCACACTCTCAATCAAACTTTACTATGCATGTAGCAACCTTGTGGATGATAAATGATTTTTCTGCATATGGAAATCTTTCATGTTGGTCAACTAAAGGTAAGCTTGCATGTCCATGTTGCCATAAAGATACACATTCAATTTCCTTGAGGAATAAATTGTGTTACATGGGCCATAGGCAATTTCTTCCACCTAATCACTCATGGCGCCGAAATAAGAGAGCTTTTGATGGTAAAGAAGAACATAGGGTTGTACCTATTCTTTTAATTGGAGATGAGGCACTTAACCAACTATAAAGTTTGGGTAATGTGAGACTTGGGAAAGGTAACAAATAAAAGTGTGACTCCCTTACTAATGCTTACAATTGGAGAAAAAAAAAGCATTTTTTCCATCTACCTTATTGGAAAAATTTATTGATATGGCATAATCTTGATGTTATGCATATAAAAAGAAATGTTTCTGATAATATTGTGTCCATGGTGATGGGTATAGTTAGGAAGACAAAAGATACATTGAAAAGTAGATAGGATTTGGTGGATTTAGTCATCTGGAGTCACTTGCATCCAATTGAAGATGGTGAGAGTGTTTCAATACCTAAAGCTCCTTATGAATTGTCCCTTTAAAATAAACAAAAGCTTTACAACTTGTTGGCTAACTTAAAGGTTTCTGATGCTTTTGCATCAAATATATCAAGGTGTGTAAACATTCATGAACAAAAATTGTTTGGTTTGAAATGCCATGATCATCATGTGTTATTATTGCAAGAAATATTTCCAATTGCAATATGAGGTTTATTAAAAGGAGAAGTGTATGAACCAATTATAGAGTTGGGACAATTTTTAAGAATCTTTGTTCAAAGTGTTTGACTCTTGATGAACTTGACAAGCTTCAAAATCAAATAGCATTAACATTATGTAAGTTGGAGACTGTGTTCCCACCTGCATTCTTTGATATTATAGTTCACTTGCTAATGTACTTGGCAGGAGAAGCAAAACTTGGTGGACCTATTCAATATTGATGGATGTATCCAATTGAAAGGTAATGTTTCAATATGTTTACAATTAGTTACATCTAAATTTACCAATAGAACTACTTAAAAGGTTACGTTTGCTTGTAGGTATTTGCGAACACTCAAATCATATGTTTGCAATAAGGCTCGACCTGAAGGTTCTATTACTGAAGGTTATTTAGTAGATGAAAGCCTCATATTTTACTCACGATACTTGAAAGATTTTCCAACTAAATTCAACATGACCCATAGGAATGATGATATGTCTAAGAATAATTTTGACTTCTCAATATTTAAAAGTAGTCAACCAAGAGGACAGTTAGAATCAATTACTTTTCCTATGAAAAGTCTGAACAAACAACAATGTATGTGTTACAAAATTGTGAAGAAGTTTGACCATATCTTGAGTAAGTTAACCTTATATGATTATAATTTTTTTGTCAAGACTTGTGTGAAAAGCTTTTTTTATTACTAACTACTAGTAAAACTTGTAGGGGGTATGCAGAGCTTTAAGCACAAGGTTCGATGACCAAGGATGGAAAACACAAAGAGTTTTGTGATTGGTTTCGTGAGCGCATGACACAAATGTGTGCACAAGGTCATGCTAGTGAAGAATTTAAAAGTTTATCACTTGGTCTAATAAGAGTGGTGAATCAGTACTCTATGTTTATGGTCAATGGATTTTGATGTCACACACAAGATCATGCAATGGGGAAAAAAACTCAAAACAGTGGAGTGATGGCTTTAGGTGATGATACTAACTTTGAAAAGGAATATTATGGTGTGTTAGAGCATGTTTATGAGTTGTCTTACATAGGGAGTAGAAAAGTGTACTTGTTTAAGTGTCATTGGTTGAATGTAAGTCATGTTGGTAGGGGATATAAGGTTGAAAGCATGGATTCACAAGTGTGAACACTTGATATTCATTACAGACAGATAAACCATTCATTTTAGCATCTCAAGCAAAGCAAGTTTGCTATGTGGAAGACATTGTCGATTCTAGTTGGCTTGTTATTATCAAAACCAATCTATAGTGACTTATTCAATATGCCATTTGATAATGATATTGGTGTAATTGATAACAATGTTATGATTAATGAAGAGGCTTATCAGCAGTTGGTGGTTGACTTGAATATGTTTACTGAAAGTTCAATACAACTTGAGCTGTTCATTGACTTTGTTAGAGATGATGTGCCATTAGAAACTCTTGTTGAATAGGGTGAACCATCATAAATAAACAATTACACCACCAAGGATTTAGGATTCATTGATGACACTAGTACACAATCACAATCACTAGTGAACAAAGATAGTAAGGAAGAGGAGTTACTTAATGAAAGTAGCACAGACACTGAAAGTGAGAGTAAAGAGAATGAATTACAGGAGATCGAATCACAAAAAACCGATACAAGTGAAAGTGACATAGAAGACCAAAATAGATGTATTTTAATACTATATATTACTTCTTACTTAATCAAAATGTTTTAATGCTATTAATTTTGCTTTATTAACTTTACTACTTGTATTCTTGTATGATATGTCTTCAATGCGCAGAGGTAGAGGTAGAGGAAGAGGTCAGGGTGGTAGAGGTCTTACTCTTGGAAGAGGAAGAGGAAGGCCTACTAGTAGTGCTCCACAACTTTCACCCATTGAACAAGATAATAACATATTTCAAGCCCCTCAACTAGATTTATAAGAACCATTACTTGAACAAGATGCAACCTCCCCCGCTACACAGATGAGTAGCACAGGTAAGTTTTCTTCAACTTTAAATAATACAAATCAACTAGTTTTCATAATGTGTTGCATCTAATCATTTCTTTCCTTTTATTTGAAATATAGCTTCTAATAGCTCCCAAAAGAAGGGTAGAGGTATTTATAAGGCAACTAAACTTGACCTTCAGACAAAGCATGGTGTTAAACTGAATTTGAGACTTGTAGACAACGTAGATAGAGCATTAGGAGAACATGCAAGGGGTTTTGCATTACATTGTGGTTATGTTGTTAGGACCATAATTTCTTACTAACAATCCTTAGGCAACCCTGATGTTGCTATTGAAAAGTGTTGGGATGAGTTGTTGTTGAAAGTTATGGTATTATTTTCACCAAATATATATAAATTTACTATATCTTTTCTTATTAAATTTCTAATAAGTTTATATGTTTATGTTTGCTTTAGCAAAAATATCAACCATAGGATGAGTTAAAGAAAGAGTAATTTGAGTCTACTATATTTGAGACAATGAAGAAACAAGCTAGGGATTGGAAGAGTAAGTTACACAGAGATTATTATAAAAAATATACTGCTGATGAAGAGAGGTTAGGTAAAATACCTCCATCCATTAGTCCTACTAAGTGGGCTTGGCTTGTACAACATTTTGGCTTTGATGAATTTAAGGTATGATTTTATATTGTTGTAAAGTTATAATATTCATAAGTAAAGTGCAATATTAATCAATTTAAAATTTTATCATAGGCAATAAGTGCAAGAAACAAAACAAATAAAGGAAAGCAAGTGACAAAACATACCTATGGACCTCGATGATTTGTAGAGCTTGAAGATAGATTGGTAAGTTCTTAATTTTAATATCTTTATATCTCTATTTATTTTTCCATTCATGTTTTTCTTTTCGTAGAGAGATCATGTTATTGGAGATTTGCCACTACCTGATTAGATGTGGGAAATAAAGCATGCAAGGAAGACTGCAGATGGACATTTTGAGTGGGCAGATCCGCATTCAGAGCAGATTCATGTATGCATGTTCTTGTATCATTCAACTCTAACTTATTATATATATTATTTTGTTAATTAACTTTGATTTATTTACAAGCTCGACTCAAGGACCTAGTACAGCAACAAGATTCAAATAGTGATTGCCAACTGACCTCAGATGAGATTTTAAGCCAAGTTCTTGATGAAAGGTCAGGGTATGTCAGAGGTAAAGGTTACGGAGTGCATCCTGCGAAAAAAAGGGCTCAATCTCAATCTTTTGAGATGGAAAAAATACAACAACAAATGAAAGTAGATTTTGAGAGGAGACTTCAACAAGAGCGTGAGAAACATCAACAAGAGTGTGAGCAGATGGAACAAAATTTTTCTCAAAGGATTCGAGATGAAGTGGCTGCCATCATGGCTTCATTTCAGCAAGTAATTATTAATTTTATATTACTTATATTTATATTATTTAGAAATTGATTAATTATTCATAAGATAAATTATAATTCAATTTGTTTTTTTCTAGGGACAGTCTTAGGCACTAGCTCCAACTCCAGGTTCAACTCCAATGAATGATGCATGAAGTGGTGGTAATAGTTTCAATAGTTTAGCTACAAGATTAGTTTAGTTGTTGTATTGTTTTCCCTCTCATACATTGTTGGATTGCTTTTGTATTTTAGTATTGAATTGGATTGTTGTTATTACAAATTCTTGTATTGTAATTCTAGTTCTATGTCGGTATTGTGTTATTATATTATTGGTTGTTGAATTTTAATATTATCATTGCCATATATTATGTTGAATACAAGGAGTTAAGTATAAAATTATAAATTAAAAGAATATTTTTTTCTACAAACAACTTTTAGCAGCGACCATAAATTGCCACAAAAGAGTTAAAATATTGGATATTTGTTGCCGCCAAAAGTAATATAGTTTTATGCCTTGGCCTTTAGTGGCAACAATCTTCGCCGCCAAAAGCAGATAAATTTTTTCTACTTAACTTTTGGTGGCAACAAAGTGTCACTGCCAAAAGTTTTTACCATTAGCGGTGACATAACTCTAAAGTTTTGGTGGCAACTTTCTAACTTTTAGCAGCAACTATTTTTGTCGCCACTAAAACTTTGTAGCAGCGATCATTATGCCGGCGAATTTTTGTCACCGCTAGGTCACCGCTAAAGTCTTATTTTTTGTTGTGATCATCATCAATGACAGAAAGAATTTATATTTGCAACCACACGATATAGCATGTTTTTAGTGGACAGACTGTGAAAAATATGGTGCACCAAATTCATACAAGAATTTTTCCAACTTTTTCCATTATATCACATGTTTTCTGCCTAGCTAATTTCTTTCCCATTAAAGTCCTGCTGATTTCTTGGTTTTATACTTTTTTTAGATCCCTTCAATTTCTCTACATTAAATCCCTTTTAATTTGCCTTATTAAAATGCCTACGAAAAATCTCAGTGGACCAAATTAACTGGTCCCAGAAATCAAAATTCCTCTCATAACTTTCTCTCCATCAGTCACTAGAGCCACTGATGACACTGTCGATTGTGGTGTCACTTCAACCTTCCGTCCCAAATTATCTTTATTGTCTTTTTATTAAGTTTCATTGCTATTTTTGTTACCCAAAAACATATTTCTCAAGTCACATAATTATCTAATTTTGGTTAACTTTCATGTGAAATAATTAATGTTAATTTTATCACACTAATAAAATACAATCATTGATATGAATTATTTAAATATGACAAGGACTATTTTATTTTTGAGAAAGACCCTATATTATATATTAATTGTGCCCCTTCCCCTATGTCACAAGATATATAAATTGACTTAAATATGAAAACATATGAATCTGACTATAAAGATGAGATGATATTCTTTTTCTTTAGTCTCATCATGTAAAATGTCGAGAGAATTTCCTCAATTATAAACCCTCAATAGTGTAATTTTTGTTATCATAAAATCCTATAAAATGATACTAAGTAGTACTTATTCTGTTTTATTATGAAAAGTATTTGATAAAATATCTGGGGAATATTATAAGTCTTGTTAGAATTTCAAAAAATATTTAATAATATTTTCTATCTTACATCATTTAATTCAACAATTTAGCTAATTTATTTTTATAGTAAAATTTTTAAATGAGGGGCAAATTTAATAAAGTATGTCATATTTTTACATATTTATTATATTTTTAATCTATGTATAACAACTTTATAAAAAAACAATATAATAAAGTAGAGAAAGTACAACAAGTAAATTAAGTACTAGAAAAATAAAACGAAAGCTATTAAATAAAAATATTGCTTTATCTAAATCAGAAAAAAAATTCTAGTGGGCGTTTGATAGGTTGAAACTAATAATTACATTGTTTCAAAAATTCATGAAATATTTGTTTTCGTACAACCTCATCGTATAAGCAATTAAGTCTCAAAACATATTTGTAATTTAAAGATGTATTTTATACTAATTTTTTATAGGATATTTATTTATAATTGTTTAATTCTTTTTGTATAATTTTTGAGATTTTTATTGTTTTTGAATCAACTATTGGTCAAAATTAATATCTATTAATGGTAGAGGCAACATTATATTGTCTTCAAATATCAAAGGGGGACATTGCCCTGCAAAAGAAGTTTAAAATACCATATGATTCTACACAAATAATTTAGGGCAAAAATGGTTCTAATCGTTATTATCATATTTTCTATGTTATTTTATTCACAACAATGGTGTTCAGAGAATGTATATCAACGGTGTCTTGTATTATTGTAGTCATGGAGATAAAACTATATCATGTTACAATTCATCTTTTTACTCTAGTTCATGTTTTTACTAGTCAAGTGTAAACTCAAATATTTATGCTACGAAAAAAGAGACAGCCAAGGAGATTCTTTGGTCTGAAAAAAGAAAATTGCCCAGTTTGTGTTTTCTAACATTTTTTTAATTATTATAAAGAATCCATCTTTTTTATTCATACTTACTTATTTCTAGGTGATCAAGTCAGCTTAGAAATGCATGACGTAATGAAAGTGGCACCATAGTCGATAATATAGTCTTCATTAAAATTAGAACATTCATAGTACTCCCTCCAATCCTATTGATAAGGTATTTGGGATATTTTTCACGTATTTTAGGGAAAGTTATTATTTTGTTGCTATATTTGTTAAAAGATTTCTCAATATTTCAATTATACTCTTATTAATTAAAGGAAGATCATCAGTCACCTTATTATTTATGCAAATGCTTTCTCAAGTTAAAAGGTAAAGCCAGAAAATTAAAGAAAAGGAATAGAGTGGAGTGGGACAGAGTGGAATGAAATAGAATATTCTATTGTTTGAAAGTTTTATTAGATGAATAAACAATTTACTTTTTCAGCCAAAGGAATGAAAATTTATTTAATCATTATCTAAAAAATATTATAATAATTTTCTAGTTTTAGAGTGAGAGGAAGTGAAAGAGTGAGAGGGCGTGATAAGGATGAGGGCAATTTAGTAATAGTGTTATTTATTTTAGGTCATTTTCCATCTGTCAGGAAAGCAACATGGAATATTTCAAAATGCATTATTATCTATCAAGAAAGCTAGTGGTTGATATAATTGACTGATGAATGTTTTAGCACAAAACATTGTATTTAGTGCTTTTCAATTCTAATCAAGTACTGAAAATATGAAACTGATCAAAACTATGGGCCAGATATGTCGAAATTAAAAAATATGTAACCATCAATAATTTGCAATAAGTCAAGCAAAATTTAGAACCACAATCAGGTCCCTTGGGACCTGAGTGTAATTTAAAATTGGAATCAAAAGACAATAATGCCCATGTTGAAAATACATTACATCAATAAAATGATTTACAGCTACTTCATCACTAATTTACTACTTTTACTTCAACTTTTTACAACAGTAACTTCACATATCTAATAGCTAAATCGATTATCCATTATGAAATAGTTTAACACTAATTATTCACAACCACTTTATTAGTAATTTACAATTATTACTTCAACTTTTTTATAACTGTAACTTTACATATCTAATAGTTAAACCGATTATGCATTACTAATAAAGTTTAATGCTAATTGTTTATAACTACTTTATCACTAATTTACAACTTTCACTTCAAATTTTTGAATCTAAAACCTCAAATATCCAATAGTTAAAAGGTTTGAATATTTGATGTAGAAGGTTGAAGTTATAGTTATAAAAAATAAAGTGATAGTTTTAAATTATTGATGAAATAGTTGTAAATAATTTGATTGAGGTAATATATTTTTAATAGGGGCATTGTTTTCTCTGTACTCTAATTTTAAATTACATTTAGGCTCCAAGTGACCTAACTGTAGTTTTTAAATTTTGCAAAACTTATTTATAAATAAATATACTCCATGGGACCTATACATAATTTTTCCTTATATAATTAAGCCCAACTGAAATAATCTAATTTGGGGTTATGTTTTAAGCTCAAGCAAAATGGTTTAATTTGGAATATTTGTACCATTTTTAGGTTTTATATACGGGCAAAATTGCATTGTATAATACATTGTGAATATTTTTTCCTCTAACAAATTTTACACGTGGCATAATAGATGGAACCTATAATCCTTACTTAACAGAAGTTTAGCTTATGTTGCAATCAAATTGGGGATTTTTGCACTTTTTTTATTTTGGATTCATGGATAAAATTGCACCATACTTGAGTTAAGAATGTCAGTAGCTCCTTGCAAAAATTTTTATCGGTAAATTTTCACTTTATTAACCTTTCTAAATTTAATCAAAGTTGAGATCCACACTATATTATTATGTCTTATTCGTTATTATATTTCAATTTATCTTTAAAATAAATTGATGACTAATCTGATCTCATATCTATTTTGTTTCAATTACAAAGATTTAACTTCTATTTTGAAAATATATATGAATCCAACCAACTATTAAGTATTTGTTTAATTTTACTTTTAAAAAATTATCAATGGTGGTTATCTGTCTGTCCAAGTATATCCATATCAATTAGTATACTCATTGCATAAAGAAAATGGCACAATGATAGGTCAATGGAATATAAATAATTTATGCGTATTAATTTTAGTCATTTCATTCATAATGTGGAGGTTCTTTGAATTGGAGTGTTTTCTTGTCAGTGAAATAAAGGTCGCCATTAATAGTTGGTGGGGGCATATGGAAATCTATCTTTTGTTCGTAACTTTCTTCTTTAAGATAACTCATATATCTTTTACAAAATTAAAATGAAAAAAAAATGCAGCTTATATACCTAGTGTTGAACAAATGAAACAATGATGTGATTTTTTGTTAGGATTTGAATATGCTCCACATTCACTAACAATTATTATAAATTTTAATTTTTTATAAGGAGAAGAAAATATGTGTCGTTGCGTAAAAAATTAGCCAAAAGTAAATTAAAAATGAAATACTTCTACATCAAAATCATTTTTCAATTCATAGTTTTATATATATTATATTGTCATTTTAAATGAAAACTAAATGTATTGAGGTTATATAAGTGAGGAAATTTCCTATAAATTATGCTTATTGATGTTGTGGCCAAGGACAAAGAATCTTATATCACATTTTCGTTACTAGCA